CGTATTATTAAGTTAATATTAGCTTTAAGTATTACTTAAAAGAAAATAAATAATTTATTATAGTAGTTACTTATTATTATAAAGAAGGCTATTATATTTAATAGTAATACTAGCTTATCTTTAATACGTTTTCCCCGTTATTTTCTTATATTATTATTTATAGCCTTATTAAAGTTAATACTTACTTAAGAATTATAATCTAAGCGTAAGTAATCTAATAAAGATACTAAGTAATAAGTAAGGTATTATTTGCTTATCTTTAAGCTTAAATCTATCGTTTAAAAGAGAGAATACTTCTAAGAAAAATAATATAGCTTAGTATTATTAATTAAGTTCTTTTATTACCACGCTATTAAGCTAGGTCTAGCTTTAAGTTATAGTTTACTATTATAATAGATTAGGTTCCTTTTATTTAATTGTTTTTTATATACTTAATTAATAGAGAACTAGACTATTTAGTTATGGGAATACCCCCTCCTTAAGTACTCGTTTACCTCTCTATTGTAGCCCTAGATCGATTGGCTTGACTATTAATCCCTCCGAACCTTGATCGACTGGCTTAAGGTTCGGTTAGTTTGATCCTCCTTAGTCGATATGTTCGAACATTAACCCCTTCAATCACCTCTTAGGTTACGTGGCTGGTCACGTGCCCTTGCCTTCTTCTTATGCCTACGGGTCGTGCCTGTTCTAGCCGGTGCGGTCCCGTCCTGTATCTTGTGTAGTGTTGTTCGTAACATTATACCTCTCCTTTATTAGTCTTATTCTTAAGGCTATTAAAACAGGCCGGCTTAAGTGTCGTGCGTTTTCTTCCTTCTATTATTATATGCTATTATGTCAACTAACCGTGTCTTAAAATAGCGGTCTAAAGCTTCGTTTACTTCTTCCCTTCGCTGGAATAACCTTCTTTCTACGATAATTAATAATCTGTCTTTATCCCTTATAAAGGCTTACGCTTACTATGCCCGTATAGAATTTTCCTAATGTAAAGCCTCCGTTTCCGATTCAAGTTATTATGTGAAGTGTATAGTAGATAAGTAAGGGAATTATAATATTACGGGGGTAACCCCTTAATAGCCTCGCAGCATCACGGATCAACATTACAAGCTTAAGAGGGAGCTTAAAGAAGCTAAGAAGCGTGCCTTAGCCGAGAATTAAAAGGTCTTACGTTTACGGAAATAAAAGAAATTGTGGTTTAAGAAAATAATGCGCGCGGTTACGCGTAGTATTAATAACGTTAAAGAGTTAAAACGTGTGGAACGTAAGGAAGTAAAATAGCTTTAAAAGACTATAGGGGTCCTTTTTACTCCTTCTAAGGATTTGGATCCTATTTTGGTTCGTTTCTTAGATGCTAAATTTAGTATTAAGTCGTTAAACGGTGCTTAGGAGATTAATTGGGATGCGTTTCTTAGGAATGAAACTATTCAAGTAACGTTAAGTAGTTCGTGAGATTTTTGGCTAGTTCCTAATAGTAAGACTATTACTTAGATTAATCAATAGAGAACTAGACTATTTAGCTATAGGAATACCCCCTCCTTAAGTACTCGTTTACCTCTTTATTATAGCCCTGGATCGATTGGCTTAACCATTGATCCCTCCGAACCTTAATCGACTGGCTTAAGGTTCGGTCGGTTCGATTCTCCTTGGTCAATGTGTTTAAACATCAACCCCTTCAATCACCTCTTAGGTCACGTGGCTAGTCACGTGCCCCTGCCTTCTTCTTATGCCCACGGGTCGTGCCTATCCTAGCCGGTGCGGTCCCGTCCCGTGTCTTGTGCAGTGTCGTTCGTAACATATACTTTCTTCCTTAGAACCTAAGCTACCGTTATAGTAAGATACTTACACTTACCTAGAAGAAAAAGGCTATTAAGTAAAAGGTTACTATAAGTACCCCTATTTTACTCTAGCCTAGTATTATATTAATATTTATATAGGTTAACGCTTAGCATTAAATTTTATACTTATCCTATATAGCCAGCCTATTTTAATAGCCTTAAGAATAAAACTAATAAAGAAGGGGTATAATATTATAAATAATACTATATAAGAGACGAGATAGAACTATATTAGCTAGAATTATTATATTATCTTTAATAAGATTATTCCTATACCCTAGCTTTAGCTTAGCTTTATTAACTCTTATAAAATCTAGTACTATTACTTACTTTAACTATTAGGTTTATAATTATCTTTACCTAAAGGTAAGTTAAGTTTAATTTAACCCTAGCTTATAATCTTATTATTCTTATACGTTAACTTATACTTCTTAGGTTTTTATTAATATTAAGACTCGTTTAATTTTACCTTAACTCTAAAATAAGCTTACTAAGCTTATTAATACTTTTAAGCCTTAAGTGTATACCCCTATTATACCCTTAACTTTAGCTTTAATTTAGTTTTAGTTCTTAGCTTAATTAAAGGCTAATATAACCGTTCTTTAAAAACTATATAATAAGCTTAAGGGTAAGGCTATTATTAGGTTAACCTTAGCTACTTATAATAGTAGTAATTAAAAGGAGTTACTAGCTATTATAAAGCGTATTACTAAGTTAATATTAGCTTTAAGTATTACCTAAGAGAAGATAAATAATTTATTACGGTAATTACTCGTTATTATAAAGAAGGCTATTATAGCTAATAGTAGTACTAGCTTATCTCTAGTGTATCTTCCCCGTTATTTTCCTATATTATTATTTATAGCCTTATTAAAGTTAATACTCACTTAAGAATTATAATTTAAGCGTAAGTAATTTAATAAAGGTACTAAGTAGTAAGCGAAGCGCTATTAGCTTATCTTTAAGCCTAGATTTTTCGTTTAAGGGGAAGAATACTTTAAAGGAGAATAATATAGCCTAATATTATTAACCGAGTTCTTCTATCACCGCGCTATTAGGCTAGGTCCGGCCTTAGGCCGTAGTTCGCCGTCGTAATAGATTGGGTTCCTTTCGTTTAAAATAATATTTTATTAATTATACTTATTTATATATTAAAAAAAGCTTTTTATTTTTATATTTATATTTATATTTTTATATTTAAT